ATGCCCAGCTAATTTTTGTATTTTTAGTAGAGACGGGGTTTCACCATGTTGACCAGGATGGTCTCGATCTCTTGACCTCGTGATCCACCCGTCTCGGCCTCCCAAAGTGCTGGGATTACAAGCGTGAGCCACCGATATATATTTTTAATACAGGGTCTCATTATGTTGCCTAGGCTGGTCTTGAACTGTTGGGGTCAAGTGATCCTCCCACCTCAGCCTCCCAAAGTGCTGAGATTACAGGCGCGAGTCACCACTCCTGGCTCATTTATCTCTTTTTGAAGGATTCTTATTTCTACTCTTCCAGGGCAATTAGGAGCAAAAGGAAAAGACCCTTAGACTGGAGTCTGGTAGAAAGAATGCTCAGTGAGCAGACCCGGGGCTCTGAACTGTTTCCTTGTATGTGTTTCACAGCCTTGCAGCTCACTCCTTGAAGCAGGGGTTCTTCGAAGTGTAGGTCAGAAGCTCATGGAGTGCTTCATCAAAGTGCACATGTCTGATGAATACCTACCCCCTGCCCACCCCTCTCTAGTTAATCAGTGGAGTGGGAAATGTCACTCCTGGTGATTCCTGTACATGTTTCTTCTTCCCATTTCCAGCCATTTTTCCCACCTGACATTTTCTCCCTGCTCCTTACATTACATAGTTCTTCACGGTCTTTCTTCCTATGTCTTGTATTCCTTCTCTGAGAGAGAGAGGGGCTCCAGTTGTGATGAGGTGCAAATGATGGCTTGTTTTAGTGTATCAATTAAAACTCCGAATCCTCTTACATTTTCTAGTAAAAGCATTGGTGTAGATGATGGTTAATATTCCAGAGTTAAATAGTGTACTTCAGATACAAGTGAGTTAAATTGGCTTTTATATTTGGGAAGTTACATTCCAAATTCTAAGCAATGGACTTAAGAACTTTTGAAACAAAACTTAAGGCTGTTAGTTAAGGACTCATCGAGTCAGATCTGCAGTAGAGAACATCATTCTGTATCTCCTGCCATATCCCCCTCTTGTGACCCCCATTTCTTCCCTTTACTGGTAAGAAACGGAGCAGGCAGTCTTTCTTGGGGATAACCATACATTGGCCCCTGGAAAGTGGGTTGGAAAATTGGAAGGTGATGCTCATTCATGTTTCTCTGCAGCTAAATCAGATGGGTTCAAACTATTATTTGCCATCATATTTAGTGGTATGCTTTGCTAGTTTTGAGATTGAGCCTATGCAGATAGTTAGCCGGAGCCTCTAAAAGAAGAAACCTTTTTATTCTGAATGACTGACTGCTTAGTAATCTACATAACAAATGAACCATTTTGCTTCAGAGACGTGAAATAGGCATCTATAAATGAATAGTTTTTGAAACTGAAGTTGTTAAGACAAAGTTCATCTTTTCACAGTGGGGTTTCTCCAGAAAACCCTCTTTGCGCTATTGAAATGCAGCTAGTTGAACTAGGAAAGCATATTCCAATAATAGGCCCATGCAATTAGCCTTTAGTATAATGGAATGAATGCTGGAATTTTTTGTGCATTATCATCATCAATTGGTGTTAGTCCCAAACCACATAATAGCTAGAAGCCTTGATTGAGAGAGACAAAGGTTTCTTATTCATAGGCATGCTTTAATTCTTGAAACTAGTAAAATGTTAGGCTCTTAAATCTTACACTCTTTTGATAACCATCTACTGATGGTAAGATTGAGACATGGTGCTTCAGAATTATGTCATTCTTTTGAGTTAGAAGAAATGTCGAACTCTTCATATAGCACCATACCCAAACCAAACCTTGTATAGAAATGACATGGTGGTGTGCTGGTGAATATTGAACAACCACCTGGTTTGTAATGTTTGCTGATTTCTGAGGTATAAATACTCCATCGTGGCTGGTTTCAGGCTACTAGTGTTACGTTGCTAAAGTTGAAGAAAAATGCATAGAAGCAGCTATCTTAAATTAATCTCAGCTATCAAATGTTCAGGATTTTCCAGCCTGTTTTTTTTTTTTTCCAGCCTGTATTCTTAATAGTCAGCTTATTCTTGTCTTTAACTTTGTTTTTTAAAAATTAGTTGTTTACAGAGGTATAATATATGCAGTAAAATTCAGCAGCTTTAAATATATACATTTGATGAGTTTTGACACATGTATACCTCGCCACAATCATGTTATTCCATTACCCTTTCTATACACAGTTGCCAGATTAATTTTTCTAAAATCATGCTTTGCATCTGTCGTCTACCTGAGCATAAAACCTTCACTGGATATGTACCGTTCATAGGCCAAAGTACAAAATTCTGTGGTCTGGCTCGCTACCATCTTGCTTTTCGTCTACTTACCTGTCTTTATGTACCACAGTCTGGCTATGTGAACCTCTTATTCCAATAAAACTGATCAGCTGGCTCTAGGCACAGTTCCTGCATCTGTGCCTTTGTTCTCAGCTGTACCCTGCCTACGTTATTTCTTGGACTTCATATTCCTTCTTGACTGCTTGGCCTTAAAGTCTGGCTCAAGTCCCATTTTCTCACACAATCCAGGTTTTCCTGATTACTCCTGCATCCTCTCCGCTTTCGTACCACTTGTTTTGGCACTTAACCATGACAACTTGTGTTGAAATTCCAGAGGTGTTTTTTGGAGTCGTTTGATCTTACCAAGCAAAGTTGTAAACTATGATGGAGTAGGAAATGTACAACACAGTTTTTAGCAGTTTGCTAAAACAAAAACAAAACCAAAAACCTAATAAATGGCTTTTGATGACGATAAACCTTTAAGCAGCTCTTCTAACTCGGTGAGTCACAAATTCAGTGACACTACCGGGGAGATTAGTAGTCTGCTATAGCATCCACGTAGAAACTGAAGCTCTGGTCTGTTCCAGAGCATAAATGTGTAGTAATGTCTCTCAAAACCAATGTTAGTCATGAAAATGCACGTTGGAGATTTTATCTCTGCCTTGAAAATTCATCCAAAGGTAGTTAGCATCATGGACTTTAGACTTTTGGCAAGGATTAAGTGTTTAAAGTAGGTCCCAAAAGAAACTTCTTTGTTTCTTTCAACCAGTTTTATTGCACTTTTTGAAGTACTGGTAAGAGGTCAGGAGGGTGTATCTCATTGGTTTCCTTCCTGTCCCAGGAAGCCATATTATGGTATTCTGAAAGAACTTTTGTCTTTTTCAGTAACTTTATTATACGCAAATTGTTTTTCTTTTTTTTTTTTTTTCCCATCATTTGCACCTTGGAATGTTTTTCTTTTTAAAACTTGTGTTTTCTCTGTAAGACATTGCATGTATTTATTGAAAGCAGACGTTAAATGACAACCTAGCAGATACCTGAAATAATTCTAGATACTTATCTGTTTCTCAGGATACCTTGTATGTTCCTCTTTCCTTAAATATTGGCTTTATTCAGGGCTGGGCACAGTGGCTCACACCTGTAATCCCAGCACTTAGAGAGGCTGATGCTGGCGGATCACATGAGGCCAGGAGTTCAAGACCAACCTGGCCAACATGGTGAAACCCTGTCTCTACTAAAAATACAAAAATTAACCGCACATGGTGGCACATGCCACCCAGCTACTCAGGAGGCCGAGACATGAGAATCACTTGAACCTGGAGGCAGAGGTTGCAGTGAGCCGAGATGGCACAACTGGGCAACAGAGCAAGACTCCGTCTCAAAAAAAAAAAAAAAAAAAAAAAAAAATTGACTTTACTCAGGGTTTCACAGTTCATCCTTATCTCTTGGTAGTTAGTACCCTTTTCTTTTCTTGTGTGATTTCTTCTATTATTGCCTGAATGTGTTTTTAGAATAAAAATTTCATATCTGTTGAGCTCTGGTCTTGGATGGCCAAATGCCTATTGGACATCTCTTTACTGCTCTTCAGAGACCCCAAATTCAACATGCCTTAAACGGAACATCTCTGTAAGTCTTTTTTTTTTTTTTTTTTTTTTTTTTGAGGCAGTGTCTTGCTCTGTGGCCCAGGCTGGAGTACAATGGCACTATCATAGCTCATTATAACCTCTAACTCCTGGGCTCAAATCATCTTCCTCTGGCCTCCTGAGTACCTGGGACTACAGGTGTGAGCCACTGTGCCTGGCCTCTCTGTCAGTCTTAGGCTGTCTCTTATTCGTCAATTGCTGAATGGTATTACCATCCCCAGATAACTCAAGCCACAAACCTTGGAATCGTCCTTGGCTTGTCCCTCTTTCTTCTCTTTCTGTATCTGTCAGGTCCACCTCAAACATTTCTTTAAAAAATCCTTGTCCTCCTCTCTGTTTTGAGTTCCGGCCAACCTTATCCTTTGTGGGGAAGGGGACTCCCCTGACTTCCAAGCATCTAATTTGTGAACTAAGAGCAGATCTACTTCCATGGCATCAGATTAACCAAGCTCATAAGACTAAAAGGTACAACTGGAAAACCAGCATATAATTTTCATTATGTACCAGTGTGTCTGCTCCCTGTAAGCTAACATAGGTAGGATCCCATACTGTAACTGGAAAGAAGGTTATTTGAGAAGGAATTTAAAGCAATGAGATCAATCAAATGTATAATGGTCTGACACAATCTGATGATGCCACCATCTCATCATATGTCTGTTGTAACCAGAAAGCTCATGTCTGTGAACAAAGACTCCCTTTTCTTCCCTATCCAGTTGCTTCAGTGGCCCCTGTCAGTCTCTGTTTCATTCTTCTTCCATGCTTGCAGGGGTGACCCTTTTGTGAGATACCTTGATTCTTTGCATGTCTGAATACATTCATTCTGGCTGTACTTGAATCTTGCTTTGTGGAAAACCAGATTTTCTCTTTCAGATGGCTTGTACTCCCCTCAGTCAAGGTGTGTTCTCGAATTGAACTCTGAAGGGCCATCTTTATTTCATGTCCTTGGAAAAAACTTCACTTGTAGCTGCCATGTAAGAGCAAAATGCTATTCTCCCATTGCATTTGGCCAGCATCACCACCTCTTGAAAACACCTTTGGCCTCCCCACCTCCTGGATGAGGACAGGAGTATCTTCAGTGTGCCTCCCCAGCACTGCTGGGTAACCTTCATATCACTCTTATCTTCCTCTTTGGTAATTGATTGTTCATTTCCCCACTAAACTTGGAACTTTCAGAGGGCAGATGCTCTCCTATTTCTAGATCCTGCTGTCTAGCATAGTGTCTGGCACCTACTCACACTATTCATTTAACCAGTTTCTGTTGAGCATCCACTATAGGCTAGGCACTCAGCTAAGTGTCAGGAATAAAAAGCAGATGGGGTTCTTGCCCTCTTGGAACTCAGATTTTGTTTGAGGTGAGGGAGGATGTAAACAGACAAAATAATACTCATGATAAAACCTACAAGGAAATAGACAATAGAATGAGGTGGAGAATAGTTGTGATGGTCTGTTGGGCATGTACTTCACATGATCGAAATGTCTCTAAGAAAGTGCCATTTAGACACATCATAAAGGCCTGCTGCAGTGGCTTACACTGTTAATCCCAGCACTTTGGAAGGCCAAGACAGGAGGATCACTTGAGGCCAGGAGTTTGAGACCAGCCTGGCCAACATAGTGAGTTCCCATCTCTATTTAAAAAGGAAAAAAAAAAAAAAAAAAGACACACCGTAAAAGATAACAATCAGCAAGCTATCTGTCAGAACAGGGAAGTCAGGGCTGGGCAGAAGAAACAGCCATTGCAAAGGCTGTGGGGAGGAAGAGAGCTTACTGTGTTTGAGGAAATGAAAGAAGACCAGTGTGGCTAGAAAGGCACAGAGGAGGAGTGTGGCAGACTGAGACCATGTCAGGCATATTGTGGGCTTGAATAAGTGAAATTAGACAATCGTTGATACAGTGAGTGATTCACATGGTTAAGATTTGTTCGGAACTAGCACTTGGGATTCTACATGTTAATTTTGCACATTCTTTTTTGGGATGTTAATACTTAAAAATAATTATTGAAAGATAACCTAGAATTTATTATTTTTTAAGAGACAGGGTGTCACTGTTGCCCAGGTTGGAATGCAGATGCCAGCATAGCTGCCTGTAGCCTTGAACTCCTGGGCTCAAAGGTTCCTCC